TAATCCCAGCATACCTATTTTCTGTTCTAATATCTCTTTAAGACTCGTATTTAATACCCATTTGCGATAAAAAAAAAATTACAAAAAAAAATATGCGCGAAGTGCTGCGCATGGGAAAATTGCGTCACAAAAGCCTGTTCCACGTCTATGATCATAAATAAGCTCGTGCGACCGTTACGAGATAGAGAATTTTACCTTCTTTCCAAATATTTACCCATTATAATTTTTGTGTAATTTGTTAGAGTTTTGTTACGCATGACTGCAGTTGCCGATAGCCCCATGACAATATACAGTAGTTTAATGCTAATACAGTATATTTGCCAATTAATTATTGTTATTCTTTTTAAAACATTATCAATACGTACCAAGCAAATATTTCCAATAACGATAAGGACGATATTTATCTTTAGCCGGTACTCGTAGTCCGGTGATTATCAATTTATCTAGCAAAAATAATAAATATGGTTGTATTCTCTGCTTGTTCCTGTAAAAAAAAAATAAAATGAGCCTTTCGAAGACGCCAAAAGATTGGTTAAAAGATTCCATTAATGACAAGACGATTGTGGAATTTAATTCCAATTTATTCGAAAATATCGAACAGATACTATCATCAAGTAATGTCAAAAAGGCTTACCTAAAAGAATCCAATACAAATATCGTCCTTAAATATGTGGGTGATAATAGGTATAAAAAATGAGGACGAATATTATAAGTATTTCAAAAAAGAGGTATCCCTATTGTATTTAACTTTTAATTTAACAGAACCGGCAATCTTAATAAACGTTTGCAATAAATAGGTTCAAAATTTAATTAAGATAAATGCGAATTCTTCTTGTGAAAACTTAACTAGATACATCGGAGTTGGCAAAGGTATTCTATATTATGTTTTTCAATCGTGTAAGTTATTGTTTCATCATTAGAATCATACCTTTTTATGCTCAGATCCTTCTCGAGAGTTTTATTTCATGATATTCAAGTATGAATGCGATGAAAATCTTGGAACGTATTTACGAATAAAATCCTCGGAAATAGACTGGCCCATTAGAATAAAAATGACCAAAGACATTACCAATGGTCTAAGCTACATTCACTGTGCAAATATTGTTCATGGAGGTTTGGTGAGTACGTGCTTTTTTTTTTTGCATTCGTTATTCACTTGTTAATAAATAATGCAATTTCCATCTTCGAATAGAATTCAGAGAATATTCTGGCCTATAATGGTAAACTAATAATTATAGGATTTGGCTCATCTATATCTCTTGATTCTAACGTAGAATCTCTTGGCGAGCATTTTAATTATAACATGATGGCTTACGTTGACCCTCAGTATTTAAAATCTCCAGATTTCAAAATGGATAAATCTTCTGATATTTATAGTCTTGGAGTATTGATGTGGGAAATATCAAGTGGGATTCCTCCTTTTGAGAATAATAAATGGGACAAATCAACATTAATATCTAATCTTATTTCTGGAGTTCGTGAGAGATCCATTAACGGAACCCCGGTGGATTACAAGGAGCTTTATTGTAAAGCATGGGATAATTCTCAATATAAACGACCATCCATCAAAGAAATTGATGGTTCTCTCTTGAATATAAATTTTAATCATGAATATCAAAATTCCGAATATATCCCCCTCATCCAATATGGTATAAATTTTGATCACAGGAAATCAAGTAAAGCTTGTTTAAAAGTAATTGAGGGTCATACTAAAGATGAGCACCTTTTTCTAAACCAATTTGAAACGTCACTAGGAAGAGATCCTACAAATCATATTATTATAATGGATCAAGAAGCTTCTAAGAAACATGGAAAAATTACGAGTTATAATGGAAAATTTTCGATTACAGACTTGGACTCATCTTCGGGAATTTTTATTAATGATAATAAACTTAAGTTCAAAGAGGCCCGCACATTAGAAAAAGAAGACTTAATAAGAATTGGAAAATGCATTCTGCAATATCTTCCAGCTGGAGAGTACGAAAGTCGATTGGATAATAAACTTCTAATTTATGGCGTTCATGTCTACAATTGCAATTACATCAATAAAACTTTAGAAGATGAATTTGTGAGCGCGGACGAAAAGAAATTAAGTTTAATATTTTTAGATATCGATAACTTTAAAGATATTAATAAAAAAGGTCATAATGTGGGTGATTCTGTTTTAAAAAAGTTGGCTATTTTTATTCTTGATAATCATATTCCTCCGGGACATATTCTTGGACGATATGGTGGAGATGAATTTATTATTCTACTTAAGAATACCGATTCCGAAATGGCATATAAAATAGCGGAAGGTATTAGATCTTCCATTGAGAACCTTTTATTTACCCATAAAGAAGACAATTTTACAATTACAGTTAGTATTGGAATTGCAGAACGGGATTCGTTAGTGAATTCTGTGGATGAATTGATCGCAAATGCATCCTTGGCTTCAACAAGGGCAAAAACAAATGGTAAAAATAGGATTGAAATTTGGAGAATAGAAAGAAACCTCACAGGTACCAAATACAACATCTTATACAGTACATATATACTTTGCGCTTGTATCTTGTAGTTCTAATTTCATTTATATTGATAGAGAAAAATTTGAAGGAAGATCAGAGCTGCATTTCATCCAGCTCATCGAATTCGAATGTAAGGACCGAGTCTTTATAACTTTTTATGCTTTTAATATTAATACATAACTTCGAAATTCAACTTTTTTAATGCTTTAAAATTTTTGTTTTAGAATGTAGAAGGCCAAACATATCAGCATGTATTTAATTCATTTCAAGTCGAATCATCAAATAATAAGACTATTTCCCAGAAAAAAGTTTTAGAGAACGCCGAAAGATATGATTTTATTGAGAATTTAAATGATCCTTTAAATCTAAATATTTTTAAAAATTT